ACACACAATATCAATCTCTATCCTTAACGTGGAAAGTGTCCCTTATGTGACGAAAACAGCTGCAACAAACACACATACACACACACACACACATACACACACACACACACACACATACACATACAGGGATAAAAGTGTGAAAGACCCTCAGTCGGTTGAGGGCAATGGAAGGTAGCTTTCGGCTCTGATGGGATCAAGTTTGCATTTTTGGCAAGACGGACTTCCAGGTCTGGTTCTGCCCTCTTGAGGCTTTCCAGCCAGGCAGCGATTGGCCGCTAGCTAGCTAGAGTGGGTATGGTACACAGTTCTAATAGTAATAGAACAACAGCTGCAGATTTCGTGCGATGAAATGATTCAATCTCCCACCGCCAACACGAGTGCCTTCTCGTTGCTCCTGTGCCTTCCATGGGTCCTGCAACCAACTAGTAATAGAAGTATTGTTGTAATTCCGTGATTCTTCTGGAATTGGTCGTTATCAGCAGACCTAATGATCGCGAATGTTGTGTATGTTGTTTTTAGATGTACTTTTTGTGATTGTATACGGTTGGGTTGGACCTGTGGCAACAATCTTGGCACCAAGCACACTATGAGTACGTCGTGGTTTCTATGATCTCAGTTCTGTATACCTCTAACCTATATCGCAGAATGCGGCATGCCCGGTGAATTACTGCCAAGGCTGATCTCCAGCCATCTGGCCCTCCACTTTTTCGACCAGTCCTTTGATTCCCACGCTGATTTCCTTCAAAATAGAAATGCTGGTTTGTTGGTTCCTGTTCATGTTGTTGGTCATGTCGCTGATAGCTTCTAAGACAACATTGCTTTCACCGCCGGCACCACTAGGAGGACTCCCAGCGGGGACAAACGTTGGTTTTGGTGCAAAACTGGACGCTACGGGAGCTGATCCGCTGCCAGGAGCAATGGCATCCAAATATGAGGGCACTCCGCTTCCCGATGGAGCCGATGAAGCTGGTAAAGCATCAAGATATCCTGGTACGCCACCGCCGGATGGTGCAGAGGCTGTGAGCAAGGCATCCAAGTATCCCGGCACACCACCACCCGAGGGTGCCTCCTGAACAGGCAGCGATGCAAGGTAGTCACCGACTGCGGGTGCCGTGCTTGCAACAGCGGCAGCGGCCTCACCTGCTGGTGGAGGTGGCGGAGGAGGGGTTGCAACCGCCGTGCCACCGCCTCCAATGTTATCCAAATATCCCCCAGTTCCAGAACGAGGCGCCGCCATGGGTTTTCCACTGGGTGCAAAAGAGGAAGATTTCATGGAGGCAACACCGCCGTCTCCTCCCATCTGGTTCAGGTATGAGTTGAAGCCATTGGCTGGTGCCAGGCTTGCCAAGATAGAGACAATAACTAACGATATCCACATGGTGATCCTGTACGTCTAATCTCAAAAGGGCTTGGTTGTGTGTTGGATTTTGGATTTGGATTTTGGATTGTGGAAGCGGTGTCTTTGCAGTTTGCAGCTGAGCACTGACGTCTGACGTCTGCTGTGTCACCTGGTTTGACGCACCCCCCAGTCATGAAGCCTTTATGACGTCATTTGTGGTAGAAGATCCCGCCGTTTCTTTCGCAGTTCGCAGGTCTCAACAGGAACAACAAGGAAACAAACCGACAAAACAGCACCTGCAACCTCCAACCTTCCATTCCTTCCCGCTCTGCATCTACGGAATGTATCAGGCTGATCGAGCTGATTATTCTACTGGTGCCTCCAAGCTAAATCGCCATGCCGTTGACCACTGTTGTTGGAAGGTGAGTCTGAAGAGTATGATTGATTCTGCCGTCGTCAAAATTGTTTCCCTCCAATGATCGTTCGAGTTGGTTCCTGACCAAATTGATGATTCCGCTGGGATTCCTCTTTCGCTGCAGCTCTGGAAGTGGGAAGACGACATTCCTAAACGACCTGAACAAGCAGAGTAAATGTGTCTATATAAGACAATACCACCAGATTCGCCCATACTTGATGGTAAGAAGAGGTTGATGCTTGGAGGAGCAACAGTTTGTCGTGAAGAATCCTTTGACATCTTGATGACTCGTACGGTACCGGCGCATACAGGTCTCTCGCATTCCCAACTTTGACGCAACCAAACTACCTTACTGGAGTATCTATGAAGGAGAAGGTACTGCCAATAAGATCCCCGCGGGGGGGACCATGGCGGGAGAGTTCACGCCTGGGTTGAGTGGGGGGCAACGCAAGCTGTTGTTGTTCGAACTGATTGTCCAACGTGCCACGCAATGCGGACAAAAGCTGCTGATTGTCCTCGATGAACCATTTTCGGGCGTCACTGATGACTTTGTTCCTTGGATTGTGGAACGTCTTGATTTTCTTCGTTCCAACGGACACAATATTGTCTTGGTGACCAACGATCACGTTCACACACTCATGGAACTAGCCGACAATACAATTACCGTCTCGGCCGTGAATCGAAATGTTGTATCCATCAACCAGGATCATACATGCCAACGAGAAATGGTCCTGCATGCATTAAGCAGCACCGGGGTGGACTACATGTATCCGAAAGCAACACAAAATGACCTAATCTTTTTCTTCAATGTTGAAATCCTTTCCTCCAAGGCGGTTTTGGGAGTTGCTTGCTTTACCATATTCTTCTTTGCGCTCTTTTTAGTGTCATTTTGGGACTCTCAAACCAGCAGCTATGTCTTGATTCTCATTGCTGGAGATATCATTGCCTTCTTCTCAGTCAATCCCTACCTTCTGAGTCTCGTGGACTGGAGAAATGCTGTAACAGAAGAAGCTGAAGCGTTGGTTCATTCCAGCAAAGCCATGAACAAGCTACTCAAGACAATCCTTTGTGCATTGCTGATATTCGTGGTTTGCTCTTTGGAATTTGGCATGGTGAATGCAGTCGTTTCAGGTCTGGAAGATGCAAAGTTCCTCTTAGCAATGTTCTGCGATACGGGCAGCACGACGTTGCCCTTTGTAGTGTTTGGCTTGTACACCACCTGGCCGCATCAAGTGTGTGAGACGCTTGCCCTTTTGCCTTTTCTATTCTTGATTTTCTTCTCGACGACGTTTAGTCCAGGTGAGTGAAGCTTCCACCATTTTTCTTCTTGCTGACACCCTTTTGTCAGTCCTTCCTTGTACTCACCTGGAGGTTTGTGCCCATGCCGTATATTCTTCCATTGACGAACAGGAGCAGGTGGTACGTACTGACTTCATCAAACGTATCTGTTTTCCATTGTTCTACTAACCACTAGCCATTGCTGCTTGCAGTGCCAGTTGTGAAGGAGCTTCGATACCTTTTTGCACGCTTTTACTTCTGGTGTATGGTGCCTGGAGCTCAAGAATACATGGAAGGATGCCCCGAAAATGAAACACTCAATATTTTATTGATGTGCTTGACTGGCCTTGGAACGGTATTTCTCTTTGTCATCTTTGTGGCCATCAAAAATTGCTTAAAGTCTACAAAAAAGGCCAAAGTAGTTGAACGACGTGACACTCTGCAGAAGGATGCAGGCTTTCAGGCTCTGGTCGAAGAACTCTTTGGTGGGGATGCAGTGTCATCGAGGAAACAATGGCGACAATCAGAGATTGGCAGCAAATCAAAGAAGGAAATCTCCGACCGTGCTTCCGTTCCTTCACCATCGTCACCCAAAAAGCAATATTATGAGCCAACAGCAAACCCGGGTGATACAGAGGTAGATTGTTAGCTTGGGGTCAATCAGGGGTAATCGTGAAACAACATTGGCGAAGTATAATCGAAGATGCTCTGGATACCGTCAAGCTCACTCAGCTGCTAGTCTTTTCTTTGCTACAAAAACCATCGCACGCTTGATCTATACCGTACCGGTAGAGGTTCATGCAGGGGGTAAATCGTAGAGAACGACACTGGGGAAGCCTAATCGAAGATGCCCTTTACTAAGGAAGGGGTTTCGTGAAAGCTCAGGCTACATACTTATATGCATTACATGTACAAGGTATTGAATTGAGTGTGGCTGTCTCGTCGAGCTCACTCTGCTGCTAGGCTTTTCTGCGCTACAAAAACCATAGCACGGTATTCCCAATCTTTGAAGTCGTAGTGCTGCTTCCCGGCTGTTGGGATGCCCTGGTCTTGTGGTCTGGTGGTTTGGGACGCTTCCGGGGAACGTGATTATATGCCCAGCACCTTGGCTTGCTGACCTTTCGCCTTTTGCAGTTCTGCGAGGCCAGTCGTCTTAGAAATCTGAGGGTATTTGGCTTGCATCCGCCTCTTCGTACTGCATCTCTTCCATGTCCTCGATTCGTCGTAGTTCTTCTTCCAAACGTCGGATCTCATCTTGTTTTTGTGCCTTCATTTGTGCAACTGTGAGGACTTGCTTGCCCTTGGATCGGAATCGGCGTCTCCATAAGATGAGAACAAAGACGAGGAAAATAGAAGCGATTCCTGTGATGGCAAGCGCCAGCAGGATTCCCGATACAACAGAGTTTACCCCTGCTTCTTGTTGCTCAATTTCGCTCACAGCAAGAGGGTCGATGAAGGTTGGCGCTGCCGTCGGTGCCAAAGAGACGCTGGGTGCCGCTGACGGCGGTGGATCTTCTTGATTAATGAACGAAGCACCACACTTTTCCTGAAAGACAGAGTACCGTTCCGGAATGAAACTTCCAACAAAGCTGGATACTGCGTGGTCTGTGCACATGTCGGACATTGGCAGCTCCATTGCCTTTCCAGGATAGTTGAGGAGTCCTCTATCTTTCTTTTCGCAGTTGCACATTGTATCGGCGCAGTCAAAGTTATCATTATTGAGATCAAAGAGGTCGGGTAGACACTCATCGAGGACATCCAGACGTTCGTCGCAATCTTCTTCGAGTCTGGAGCATACTTGTGATTCCAGCACACATGCCATCTTGCTTGCCATCAATCCATCCAATGACACAGAGCTTGTGATATCAATCCTGCACGTGGGCACCGATGCCAGAGCGGACATGCACCCGCAGGTTTGCTTGGGGGTGACCAGAAAGAGTTGGAAGATATGGCCAATGATGTCGTCTTTCAAAATGGCCTCCACACATTGATCCATGACGTAGTTCTGGTAATTTCTGCTGGCACATGTCTTTTCTCTCTGAAAGGGCTGGATGAAGGTATTCACACAGTGCAGGGCCACATTGACAAGGTTCTCTTCAACCGTTCCAAAGAACTTTCCAATGTCGACGTTGGCGCATGATGAGAACGACAGCATACTTCCAAGAAAGACGGTCGATTGCATGGGACTGCAGGTATCATCCGTGAAGAATTGCAAGTACCTTCGATTACCATCGTCATGATTACTATGATCGTGATCTGTTGTGAAGGAGGAACCCAATCGAGCAGTGGCCGCTGGCGGTTCATCTTCTGGTGCAACGATGGAATTATCGGAATCTGTACTGTTATAATTCCCCGAAGCGTAGTAATCGGCCAAGTCTCCCCCTGAAAGTTGATCCAACGTGTTTCCCGCTACGTTGAAGAGCGCCACATCAACCAAGTCTTTGACGACGCCGCATTCATCACGTCGCCCGAGCCATCCGTACAAGAGTTGTAGAATGACCTGATCAATGAGGCCCTTGTTATCTTCGCGAGCAATCTGTGGACGATCGAGCAAGTCAAATAGAGCTTCCCAATTTCTAGAAACCTGTTCATCTTGCCCCAGTTGGAGATCGACAGTTTCTTCTGTGGCGCTCATGTTTGTTTGTTGTTTGTTGTTGAATGTTAGTTTTTATTTCTTAGCTGATGCAACACTATACCTATGACCTATCGCGATGGGAAAGACAGGATTGCATACCGCCATGGACAGAGGTGAAACAGTGGCGATGATCGTACGGGAAGTATGCCAGTTGTCTTTCGGACTATCACCCCAGTGCGCGAGAGAATCCACTGCGAACGTTCCCGATTGGCGGAGCCCACTCTCTCAATTGTTGGCGAATGGTGGACCTGATCTCGAGGTTTGGCGACAGGAAGTGAAATTGTGAGCCGGTGTCCTGATTTGACAACCGATCTAGTTTCCAAAACCAATTGCTAAGTACCAACAAGCCAGAACGGATCCCGTTTCGGTGGGTATCGGATTTCACAACTCGTCACATCTAATTGTGAGAAACCCAGGACCGTGGTCTTTGTAGGATCAATCTTGAAAAGTTAATGGTATTTACTGGGTACTCCGAGTACAGTTTGCTTGATAGTACTATTAATAGCTAGGCAAGGATCTTCTGGGTAAATCGCCAAGTAGTTTTCCGTGTTTGCGGGTCGTGCATAGAACGCGAACACTCAAAGTCAGAACACAACGTTCGCGAAAGATCCTCGACGTCACCTTGCTTCATTGCATCCAAGCCGAGATCCATTTTCCCTCCAGACCGAACAAACACACAGAGACGAGGTCTCTCAATGGTACTGTATGTGCTCATAAAAACCATCACTACTAGCTAGCTGGAAGAGACATCCACAATTATAAATAATCATGGCAAATTCAACAGGTCTTCATGGTAGCATGAGGATAATCCTCTTGGTGGGAGTCATCAGTTACTTTACTCGCAAATACTTTGTGCATACACTCTTTCCCCATGGGCTTCCCGTGGAGATGACGGCCGAGATGAGGGTGAAACATGCTCCAGTTGACTCCAGCAACGACAGTCTTCATACCAAACGTAAGTTATCTTTTGGTTTTCAGTGGAGTTTTTAATTTTCTCTGTCCCTACTAACTTATTGGTGTTCTATCGGCACTTTTTTTAAATTGTTTTCTTGGAACAGACGGCAAATTGACCAAAATTGCGGAACGTCTCGAAGAGGGCCAAGAGCCATTGCTGATAGGACCCGAAACTGTTATTGTACAACCCAAAACCAACGCGATCTTTGCCTTTTGCCGTGGCGCCAAACTGGTCCGTCTGGACGATCTACAACCCTCCCCCGACAACCCGCAGTATCAAACCGCCAAGGTCACTCTCGCTGCCAACCTCGGCAGTGGTGCTCCTCTGAGTGGAAAATTCACCCCCGATGGCAAAACATTGTACGTCGCAGATCCCATTTTGGGATTGTTCCGCATTCGAAATTTTGGAGAAAGCAATCAATCCAACATTGAGATTGTCGCCAGTCAGGTAGTCGACAATGACAAAATCACACCCATTCTCTTTGCCGATGATGTTGACATTGGACCCAAGACGGGAAAAATCTACTTTTCTGATGGTACGTACTTATCATACAGCAATCAAACTAATCTTCAATGTATGTGGAAGGAACGAGGCATCAGAGAATCTTTCCTCAAAAACTCTCTCTTTGGCTTTTTTCTCATGTACAACCAATTACAACAATCCACAACACAATAATCCCTCGCATACAATATCATGATTGTTCCATACAATCAGCCACGGATGTTGCTCCCGATCGACTGGTGCGGGAACTGGATTGGGACGTCATGTATGCGAGCAAGGTGGAATGCATCCGTGGAAAACGCTCGGGGCGATTACTGGAATACAATCCCGAAACCGAACAGGTCACAGTGCTGGCACGAGGACTATGGTTTACCAATGGCGTGGCCGTGGACGAAGAAGAAACCTTTTTGATTGTGTCCCAAACCTTTGCCATGCGCTTGTCCAAGTACCATTTGACGGGACCACAACAGGGCAGTCTGGAAACCTTGTTGGACAGTCATCAATTAACCGGTTTTACGGATGGGGCTGATTTGAGTTGGGCCACCAGCGGTCCCACGGCGCACAAGGCATATGTGGCCGTTCCCACTCCGATTCTTCCCATCATGAAGGTCCTTCAGGTGACTCCCCATCCTGTGGATCAATTCGTTCGGGGTTTGTTGCTGCTGGTTCCAAAATGGTTGGCACCACCTCCCGTTGACTATGCTGGTTTTGTCGAACTGGATTTGAAGACAGGTGAAGTTCGGACGTTTCAAGATGCCAATCCGACAGACTTGGATTTTATTACTGGCGTCTTTGTTCAGGATGATAAAGTCTATTTGGGATCGCTGCACAGCAATGTGGTTGGGGTCTATGACTTGAGCTAATAAATTGCTACCGTATCATCAGCGAAGCAAAACAAAAATAGATACATCTGCAGTACAGAAGAAAATTATGCAATCAGACGACAGCAAGAGTTGCACCGAATGAACACCTAGATATAAATGCTGCAGCATAGACAAACAACAATATCGACCAAACGATCTACATAAATGAGAGCTTCACTCTTTTAAAATTAAGCTAGATTCCCCTCATCATAGTGATCGCCAGTCTTATGATGCTACCCAAACACATCACCTTCGGCGGTTCCTCCCTCTTTCTGTTTACTTTTTGCATCCTGCTTTGTTTGTTGTCGTGGTTGTGTTTGGTTCTTACCGTACTTTTTCGTTTCCCAGGGCAACCATTCGTGTGGATAGATTGGCGGTCGAAACTTTTGCTTGAAACAGGCAGGTCGATTTTGTTGCAACAAGAGTATCAAATCCTGTAGTAATGCAGTGGATCTGGCGGCGTTGTTTTGGTTATTGGATGGCATCAACTGTGGCAATCGTACCAGGAGTCGCAAGAGAAATTCGCATCCATACACGTCCAGTGGTGAAATGGCACTGTTGTTGTTTTCTTGTTGATGTCGTTCAATGTGAAATGTGTATTGAGGCCGTTCCTGTTCGTAGAGAAGACAGACGGGCAAGGCATTTTCGAACAATCGACCCAATGCCTTGCAGAATTGTCGAATTTCTTGTTTGATTTGGTTGGTTTTGGTTTCATCGGGTGGTTGTTGCTGCTGTTGTTTTTCGAGCCATTGTTTGCGTGTCTTTTTTTCAAAGTGTTTGAGCAATTGACGGATGGTGACCGTGGCGGGGAGGGCATGGACGCTGCGCGGTGGTCCCTGGCTGATTGTTGTTGAATCACTATTGTCGTTAGCAGTTTGTAACAAATCCTTGTCATATCCATACGGCGCATCATAGCCTTTTCGATTGATTTTTTCCCATTCTTCCACCATGACAGTCTTGAGTGTAAATGGCAATACCAGTCCTCCATCCGCAATCTCTGCCACTGGTGCTTGTTGTTGTTGTTGGGCTGCCTTGAGTTCCTTTTTTCGCTGTTGCTTTCTCAATTGTTCTTGCTTCTGCGCCTCCTTTTCGGCTTGCCGTTTGTGTTCTTCCTGTTGCTGCTGTTCTTCGAAACGCTGTCGATGGTCGGGTGTATCCGGCAAGAGCTCCGACGCGGTGATCCATCGATCGTACCGGGCATTCCATCCCTTGAAATGAATCAAAAACGACCAACTGGAATCTCCCGTCAAATGCGGATGATGGCGGACTTGACGAATCACACCTTCAAAGTACCGTTCCAACTTTTTCTTTTTGGGGGTCGTCTGGGCGGCTGCCGTCGTGGCGCCCTTGGGCGATCGAGGCTGTTCAATGTACGCCGTAAAGACTTTTTGATTCGGTAGAAACGGAGGAATCAGTTCTTGATGAGTAGCATCTTCTTCGGCTGCCGTAACATCTTGCTCGCCAGATGATGGCAAGGAGGCTTGGTCCTCATCGTCTTCCATTGTCTCTTGCTCTTGCCTTTTTGGCGTCTTTTCACTTCTCACGTGTTGTGTGCTCTATCCTGGAATGTATGTGCTCCGATATATGTAAATCCTTGAAACATTTGTGACTGGCCGGCTTTTGTGAAATACCGTACTGTACGATTTGTTCTCGCTTGGCCTGCTTCCAACGCCTCCAACGCTTGCGCTTCGCCGTTGGATTCGATTCTCAGTCAGGGATCCTGTTGGTCAGGGTTGTTTGTTGTGTTGTTTGCCAAAGCTGAAAGAATGACACGGTTTGTGTTTGTTGTCTATAGACTGCTTGACTTGACATCTTCATTCTTTTGAAAACTTGATTTAGAAGATTGATCCTGTGGCCCTTCCTTTCCCGACTTTCTGAGCTTGTTCCCGATCGTACAGTCGGTATATGACCGCATTGACAATGATATCCCCTCGGGGACAACCGTGGCTCTGTTCCTTTCGAACGTTATTGCTGGTATCTTTGTTGCTTGTGTTCCAGACGGAGGCCAAGATTCAAAGTCACCCAAAGCTGACTCCCGCACTGGCCGGAGAGAGCACGGGAGATGATACCTACATTGTACTGTTGACTCCAGGCGTTTCCTCGCTCAGCGAGGTATCTGGCATGGACAATCGGTACATCAAGTACCGATACGATGCGGTTTTGAATGGATACGCTCTGAAGGGAGTGCCAGATGAAGTGATGAAGGAGATTCTAGATAGCGACAGTGTCAGAGCCGTATACGAGGTACGTTGGTGGTGGTCGTGGGACATGAGTACCGCTCAATCGTCTTTGCTGATCATTTATTTGCTCGTATCGTTTCTCCGTGCATGATTGCAATGTAGGACCAACGTGCCTATGGTATTCCCGTGGAAGAAACGAAAGATCAGCAGACGATTACGCAAACGGGTGCACCGTGGGGTCTAGACCGAATCGATTCACGCACCGGTTTGGATGGAAACTATAACTACGATGCCACTGGGGCCGGTGTGATTATCTTCATATTTGATACAGGAGTTCTCAGCACCCATGTGGAGTTCACGGGGCGACTGGAACCTTGCGTTGACTACTCTGGAGAAGGATGCAATCAACCCGGACTTCACGGAACACACGTAGGTGAGAAGGACTATCGGAGGCATCGATCAAAGGATCTGAATGAATGTACAGATGGAGCCTCACGGTGTAGATTTTCTTTCTTCTATCAGCTGGAACGGCACTGGGAACAACCTATGGGGTGGCCAAAGGAGCCAGGGTCAAGGACATGAAAGTTTTGAGAAAATCGGATGGATCTGGCTCCTACTCGAGTATCATCATGGCATTTAACGACGTTACAGCAATGAAGAATGCCAATCCAAGTGCCAAATATGTCATCAATGCTTCTCTTGGTGGACCTCGGGATACTGCTACCAACCAGGCTGCCAGGGAATGTGCTCAGAGTGGGGTTATTGTTGTGGTTTCCGCAGGAAACAGTGATGCGGATGCCTGCAATCAAACTCCAGCAGGGGAAACCACACTCATCACGGTTGGCTCCACAACCAGCTCTGATACCCGATCGTACTTTAGCAATTTTGGAACCTGCGTGGATGTCTTTGCCCCTGGTTCCAACATCGTCTCGGCATCCAATTCAGGGAACACCGGAACTGCCACTCTTTCGGGAACTTCAATGTCATCCCCTCATGTTGCCGGCATTGCAGCTCTGTATCTTGAAATGGGACTGGATGTGTACACACAAATCGCCAGCTTGGCAACGCCCGGTGTTGTGAGTGACCCGGGCACTGGGTCGCCAAATCTCTTGGCATTCAACAACTACAATGCAGGGCCTGTGGCACCGACTACCTCAGCCCCAACTCCGGCTCCTACCCCGTTACCAACTTTTGCTTGTCCATCTGGATCCGCTGCATTTACACTAGAGCTGGTGACTGACAGGTACGGAACGGATGTCAGCTGGGATCTAAAGAACGATTGCACTGGTGTAATCATAGCAAGCAAAGCCGGGCGTACCTACGCCTCTGAGACTCGCTACGTTGAGAATGCCTGTATTGAAGCTAACACTCAGACCACATTTACAATCTACGATAGCTTCAACGATGGGATCTGTTGTACTTGGGGGGACGGTTACTATTCAATCTACAAAGATAATGCTTTGCTTCGAACGGGAGGTGCATATGGCTCGCAAGAAGCAACCACTTTTGGTACCTGCGCGCCATCGGCACCAGGTAAGCACGGATTGTCTGTACCGGTAGCAGAGACAAGTGGCTCTTCCAGGCACCAACATTCACAACCAACTCATTCTTTCTCGTCCTCCCAGTTGCAAGTCCTGCTCCGACCCCAGCCCCCGTTGTTTCGTGTCCATCTGGCACTACTCTGTTTTCGGCGGATATCTTGACGGATCGGTACCCGGTACGTGTTGACTGGCAGATGCGGGCCCTAAAACCAAGTAATCTGCACGAGAGATAGAGTGACAGTATTTGCCTAACATGCACGTCACTCGCATTCACCAGGATGAGACTTCGTGGACACTGACGAACACATGTGATGGCTCTGTGGTTAGAACTGGGGGCGGGTCATACATTGAATCCACTCTGTATACGGAAACAGAATGCGTCACGGACGGCCAAGCTTTCCAGTTTACGATGTCGGATTCATTTGGAGATGGTATTTGTTGCAGGTAGGTGTAGCTCGCGTCAGAGCACCCGTATTACTTCTCTCTTGATTTGCATCATGCCGTTCACGAACCGCTCTTAAATTGTTTGTCCACTGCAACGCACTCCCAGCTATGGTTTTGGCTACTATGATGCCTATTACGGCGGTACTTATCTTGGTGGCGGAAGTAATTTTGGCTCTTCCAGCAGCGTCACCTTTGGCTCTTGTTCTGGAACCCCTACGGCTCCGACCTCGCCTGTACCTAGCCCGACAAGTCCTCCGTCTTGCTTTGGCGCGTCTTTCTTTGGAGATACCGTGCAAAACTTTTTGCATCGCCTCCAGGTCGTTTTTGCCCCCTAGCTAGCTACCGTATGGAGAGTGCAATGTTGCAACGAACGTTACAAATCTTGGAGGAGTGAAGATACTGTTCGCCGTACCGTACATGATCTCCAGCTCGAATGAGACACAGTGATTGGCATCGCCTGGAGCGAGATTGGGTTGCGTGGGCTGGGTGATGATGAAAAGCCGAACTCTGAAACCTAGACTCCTATAGCTAGCTAGCTACAACCGTGACAAGGTGTTTTCACATGTAATGAGAGTTGGTGTTTCATTCTTCACATCAGCTCCAGGTAAAGCTTAGAAATGGACCATTTTAGAGAAATGAAGTATGTATGCATAAAATTGACCAAGAAAAGAGATGCTTGCTCAAACTGAGTATATTGAGCTTGAGCTTGGACATCCCACGAGTTCTCTGTACTTTCTTGGCTTGGACATGCTACCACGAGACACCCGGAGCGAACGTCGTTTGTCGACGCCTCCAAGTTTCTTTCATGACTCCCCTGCTGGGTCTCCTATTCCTCGCACTACGCTGGGACCTCTTCGATACAGCGCCGTGACGGGTGATACATTCCCAGTCTATCTGCAAAACCAACGCGAAGATCCTTTATGACTAGTATTCTCGGGCGCCAGCAGATGATGCTCCCACAGGTCTCCATAGGACGTGCTGGCACACAGGCGCACCTAGAAAACCAAATAGGAGGTGGCTTCTCAAGCCGGATCTCCTCTGCATATGGAGCCTTCATCTTCTCTGGTTGCACCCGGTATAGTTTGGTGGATCCAGTACCGTACGGTACTGCCGAAACAGGCAGAACTTTTTGACGTCTAGAGTTCGTAATTTTGTTCCAGTGTCATCAAAAGACCAATTGTTGATTGTCGACGTGTTGTTATCCGCTGCGCTCAGCCTCCCTTTGTCATCGTCTAGCCCGCCCGTCTATCCATCATACCGTATCGCTCAGCAACTAAACACAAAATTGCCATGTTGACATTGAATATCTCATTCGTACTGTAGCACCATTGTCAGCCTTTCAACTCGTCGCACCCAAACCTGTCCATCCCACTGGCTGATTGTTGATCAAAATAGCTACAGCAGAAAAAGATCACCATCATTGCTTGTCCGTCCATCAATCAAACAATCAAAATGAATTGGGGCGATGCACATCCCTCAATTGTCGATTTGCCAAATCTTTGTTGTGTCATATCCGCTGCGCTCGAGTCGAGACGCTTTGCACTGTTGTTTACTCCAAAAAGTAGAATCTATTCAATCAGAGCAGTTGTTACCGCGTTGTCGTTCGTCCAATTCTTGGAAATATACAGTAGCATGTCTGTCATCCTTGTCATGGTCGTCTGTCTCCAATCAAACTAACCGTAGGTCCTGCCATTGCAAACTCGCTGGATGGTGCCATTGTGAAGTGGATGCCATCGTTCGTATCGTATCGTACGATTGTGCTCTGCAGTGTACCGATCTTGGTATTGCACCTCATCAGATGGGCTGTGAATCAATCGATGGCTGAGATTAGACAAAGTGACATCTGGGGTCATAACTTTCTGAAAAACTCTAGGCAGGAGAGGGACTGTTCTTGAAGTCACCCGATGACAATTAATTGCTCTCTATTGTGGATATTGCCACAATGGCGTCTTGCTCAACTAACTGATCAGTCTCATCGGATTGACATTGAGTGATACTCAATTCAACTGACGACTTGACGACCTGACTTGACTTGACTTTGCTGATGAGTGACAGTCGATCTCTGCTGATAATATGATCTCGGAAACTGGGAATTCAATTTGTGGTTACCCGCTTTCTATTGGCGACCAGTGGCGCAGCTTGGACATTCGATTGGTGCTGCATTTGGAGCGCATCCTTGACGGCGACAATGATTTGTAGCTGTTTCATCTGCTCTAACCTTGGCGGCTACCTGAGTCGAGTCGAGTCGAGTCGAGTCCTCAACCCCTTAACTAATAACACGGCACATGGTGATTAAATTTTGTGAAACCAAGGGGGACGACTTGCGTGAAACAGGGATCTACTACAGAGTAATACTAGTACTCAGTAGTATTTTATTCTCCCCTTAACGCTTTCTGGTCACGAAAGTCGTATCGCCATACTAATCATAGCTATACCGCTGGCCTCGTACGTGACTGGCCAACTTTCGTCGTTCGCCAAATTCTTCCTCTCTTTGAGCCTTTGTGCATGGTTGGCAGCAATTATTATTGGTATTGTTGTTGCCGCTGCAGGACAAGTTAGTGGTGACGGCACTGCAGCGAACGCAAGAAGAAGAAGGCCGAAGGCGTCCCTTGTAGTCATGAACGCTTCAGGCTCTGCGGATTTATCAGGGATCGAATAACCACCCAAAGAGGGTTGCTCTTGAAAACCGGCATCCGGCGAAGAAGCAACTTTCATCATGTCTACATTATTGTTGCACGACGATGACGACCAGTTATTACCTCGGATAGAATCCAGTTGGTCCATTAATAATCTGGATGATGAGTCCACGGTATTTCTCCGACGAATCCAAAAAGGGATCTTGTTGTTGGGGTTTGAGTTGGGATTTCTGGTACAAGCATCCACGGCGAATATCCAGTACATTTTTACCACTTCCTTTGTGGTGTTCGACCGCACATCTCAGTTGATTCTCAGTTTTGTGTGGAGTTACGTGGTGGCTATCATGGCATTGATCACATTTTATAGCTGCCAGAGAGTCGTCTTTGCCTTTCTGCATGACAGTGTCATGCGACCCAAGCATCCATCACATTTGCTGCAAGATCAACGGCATCCGCCACTTTTTTTGCGACAATACCAAGTACTACTTTTAGAGGATTGGAAGGTGGAATTTCGATGCCAGTTTGTGCAGGGATCGTTGGTGGGTGTCTTGTGCTCGTGGGTATTCCTGGATGTCATTCTCAACTTTCGCATTCGGGTCGTTTATGGAGGGATCCTCTACCTGTGCTCCCTGTTGCTCGTTATGCAGCAAATGTACGGGGATTACTGCCAACTTCCCCTGTGCGAACCGGAAAAGGAACACGAGGAAACTGTATGACACCGCCTTCCGCATTGACAAAATCAATTTTGGTTGGCATGCATGCATGACAGACGAAGCTTTGTCGATAGATGCGAACAGTTTGTAAATAGAACTTCTCTAGCTAGATATGAATTGTTTTGATAAATGGAAGTAGGAAAGGACTCAAACGCTGTTTCTGCTGGTTGGACTGCATCACACCTTTTTGGATGAAATAGGCCCAGGTAATACGGTAGCGAGTCGAGTCGGAAGTCTTGGATTGCCACAGCAGGATACCGGTACTCCCGAGCATTCATTCAGCTGAGGTTATTCTTTTTTTGCAGTTTTATAATTTAGCTGTTGCTTGATCGAGTCCAGGAGTAGTAGCCACCTTGACTCTAACTTTCTTTTGAAACGAAGTCCTGAGGTGAGAACCATATGGAGATGCAAAACTTCCGTCTTTAGTATGCATAGCAGCAAGGGCTTGCTTGACATGGAACTCTAGCATCCGGGGACTACGGACGCCCCGCCTCAAGTATTTCCTTTGGGTGCCCCTGGCTTGCAAGTTACGATCCACTGCCTGTCTTGTCGCCGTCACTTGTGCTGGACTCTGATTGTCGTCGCCACGAATGGCCTCGTCTCCGCACATCGAGAAGGAGACCTCGGACGAAAAGGAGGACGACGACGACGAAGATAGTCTCAACGTGTCACTTGTTGAACTAGATCTATTGGAAGTACTGTTGTTGTTGGGGATGATGTCCATGGAGTTTTCTGCTGTCATAATATTCTTTGTTAGATGGGAAGTTGTTTGTTGCTTAGTCGCTGATGATTATGTGTCATTTTGCCGAAGGGGTTGCTCTCGTGTGTGTTAGCTCGCAAGGTCAAGGAGTTCATTCCTCCCGGATTTCATCCCCAGTTGAGACGCACAAGCATTAGCTGACCTTCATCCCCAGTTTATTCGTCTGAGCAGCTGATACCCAACCATTTGATCTTGCCAGTTCAGGCATGCAATTCCATGCCGGGAGATTCGCTTTCTGCGTCTGTGCCAAGTGCCAGGTGCCCAGCACGAAGATTGGTTGAGTTCTGGGACTCACTCGACTCGACTCGACTTTTCACTCAACAACAACTGTCATTGGGGGTAACTGTGATTCAGTCAAGCATGCGTGCGGGAGAAATACTGCCGTGGACTCGACTCCCGCCAAGGGAGAACCCACGATCATTGCCATCGTGCTTGTCACATGCTGAGCCACGATGGACTCGACTGCTGCAATGGCTCACGCCACAATGTTTAGCGTAACGCCCACGCACTTAGCGCTCAACAAAAATTTCAGGCCTAAGTAGAGGTCAACGCATCGGAGAACTTGCAAATACTCACATTTTGGCTACCCGACGAAAATTTCGTGAGTGAACGAATCTGCTTCGGCAATCTGACAGCGGTCTGTACTGTATGTGGCGTGGGAAGCTCAACAGAAACATGTTTATCGGCGGAACAATCCACAGTTTCCACAGTAGTCTTCTTGTGGACTATATCACATCCAACGATCCAAGTTATCACACACAAGAAGTTTCGCCTCTCCATTTGGAATTTCTACGCCGCCCACCGTAGACGAAGCGAAAGATACCAAATTGGTTCAGTAGCAGGGAGCGGAGAAGCCACAGCGAAGACAGCGAAACAACGAAGAATCACAACATATTCTAGCAAGTCGCTGTTACGGAGGAGTCGTTGAGTTCTTTCATAAAACGTTTCGCGACAGTCACCAGGAAGCTCCCATCGACTTTCAGATACCCACGAGACCAAGATGTTTTCTTTCAAATCAATCATGCTACTTCTTACCGCTGCGCTCAGTCATGGACAATCTACGGACTTATCCTACCTTCAGTCGCCCAAGCTTATGTGGGAGACTCAGGTAGACGGCATTCTTGATGGCAACGGTGTGTCCACCAGTCCCGACGACGCAATTACAGTTGTGACTCAAACGAGCGGGAAAATCACCGCCTTTGACACTCACACTGGTGCGAAGCTTTGGACATATGCTCCCCCACGCAATGGAGATTATCCACTCAGCTGCCAAGGTGGAGGAACTTTCTCTACAAAAGGATTTGAGGACTTTATTGTCTACTCGGTTGTGGATAACCCAAACGGTCCTCGTGACACATTCACGTAAGAAACACCATGTGCCTGTCGTACCCTTTCTAACTCAAAGATCTCAAATACTGTTGTCCTTGTAACGATCTAGGCGTGTGGTGTCTTTGTCATTTGATGGTTCTGTTAATTGGATTTCAGCTCCTTTGGAAGGTGCCGCAGCAGGTAGCCCACTTGCATCCTTCGACGGCCGCTATGTTTTCCTTACACACAACTCCAACGTGATGCAAGTGGGACACTTTTCAGTTTTGGACTCCTTTGGTGCAACGAATGAAACTGCTGTGCTTCCCCTCTACAGCGAATTCAACACTACGAGCGCTTTCAGCCCACCCGGAATCTACCACAGACCAGAAGAAGGATACTACGATGGAGGCCAGGGCAACACAAACGATATTGTGCTTTGGTCTCATGCTCCCAACCCAGCTGAAGACAGAGTTGGGTTTGGCGCCGCCTTTGTCTTTCAGTTCCCTCTTGGTTACGTTGCTCCAAATCAGCCTGTTTCCATTGGCAGGCAATCGGATCAGAATCCATCGGGTGTTGACGGATTCGATGCAAACACCGGAAGACGCTTGTTTTGGATCATTCTTGGAGACCAAACAAGAGACTGGCAAGCTGTTTCTGCGCCAGTGCTAACAAACCTTGGAAGAAGTCTGTATTGGTCTGTGTCACGAAGCCAGTTCCGCGCCTGGGTTGGACAGGCTGGAACGAGTTCGGCGCGCTTCAACCGTGGTAAGACAGCAGGCCCACAGTTTTCCCGCGGAAGTCCTCGATATGCTGCGTGCCCCAATACTCCTGCCTTGAGCAGCAGCACTACCCAGCCAATGGTTTTCGCAGGGACAGCATCCACCGAGTTCGTCAAGATGAACTACTTGTTGGACGAAGAAGTTGTGCGAAACACTACTTCATTTGTGAGCGCAAGAGCAGTCGTATCACCCGACGACAAATTTGTATACTATACTGAGTTCTCCGGTACCTTGCACCAAGCCAGCACTGAAGATCTCGAGGATACCTGGAACATCACAAACCTCGGAGTACTGAATGGCGAATTTGCCATGACAAAAGATGGATCCATGATTATTGTTGGTGATGTGACAGGATATGTCATGGCATACCAAGTTGCATCTATGCCAACTCCATCGCCCACAGCTTCACCAACTGCAAATCCCACCGCCATTCCTGCCCCCAACCACAACCAACCCCGGGGGTCCGTCCGACAACAGGAGCAACCCCGACTCTCCCCCCTGCAAACCCAACCCCGAAGCCAACACGATCCCCCATTTTCTTGTCAGTGCCAACGATGCCGCAACAGCCACTACCAACGGCTGATTCGTCCAGTGTACGGTCCGGTGTCCAGCTTGCCTGGATTTCTCTTCTTGCGATTTTCGCACTGATTATGTAGCTCTTCTGTGGCGACGAACGGAGCTATTGGGCATCATCACTACGTGGAATATGATGACTAGTCACCTATGCTCATGGTCTGACATGATGGGCTTCAGAGGTCTTTATCAAGACGAAACAGAAACAATCAAGAACAAAAACTATTATAGATGTAACTTATAAGCAAAGCATTCAATATCAACTGGTTCTGGTTCTGTGAAGGTGTGAAGGTATGAGATGACATTCTGAGTTTCGGTCGATCTGCTACGTGCGATCCCCCCAGCAAGATATCATGTTGGTAGTGGCGGCATTAACTGAAAATGTCCTGTTGTCCGCGAGACCCCTCCGTCTCTTCGCAGGAGCACAGGCAAAGTTGGAAGCCTCCTCTGCGGCAACCACATGATTAGTATCAGTACATGTTGTTGAAGATCTCTTTCGGCTCTTGGATTGAATCTGGCTCGTCGACTCCTGCACTCCATTTCCCAAGTCCAAAGCGGTGGACGTCGGTGCTTTGTTGAACGACCAACTCTGTGGTCGCTCGTTTTCGGACGATCGAGGTGGAAACGAAAACCCTGTCATGTTGAAGAAAAGGAGCAAAAAGAAGGGCGCGGAAGTGTCTTGTTGAATGAAAAGTGTTCAAAGAAGGTTGGTCCAAGTGTCGGGCTGCTTTCTTGGTTTCTGTCCTTGGCTCTTACTTTGAGTTCCAAATTGTGAGACATCTATCTGTGTTTTCCGAGGTGGCTGCAGGGGGTCGTGCTTCAAAACCGTGTCGACTGGCACTTGACTCGACTCAGACTCACTCTTGGACTCGCCAAATCTCGGAACCCTTTGGCCTCGTCCCGAATTCCGTTGGATGATTCGATTCGGGCTGCGAAAACATGAACTCTCCATGTTAACAACAGGTATGTCATACTGCACCGAGGTCGCTGCCGTACCGGTAATAAGAGTTTAGCTAGTACAGTCGTTGGGGAAACCCAGAGATGGGTACGCAGAAGAAATCTTTAGTGAAGCTGGAGCCTCATCGCCACCGACAGCGTGAAACCGAATCTTCTGCGTTCCGTACCGGCTAGCTGGTACCTACCGGTACAAGGTACCGGTACCTACGCATGGTGGCGAACGACGTGAGGGTCGAGCTCATCGAGTGCCCCCATCACCAACTTTTTGGCTACTAGTGGTTAGAAGGTTCTGGTTGTGGTTGATCTTACCTGCAGGAAGCATCTTTTTAATCCATACCAAGACAGGAATGGAGTGCTCAGCCACCGTAGTTGTGGGTTTTGTTGAACGCACGTTATGGCCTTTCCAACTCCAATGAAAGGTGCCATTTTGGCCTTCGAGAAAGCCCTGATAGAAAACATGGGATTCACGGAGTGTATAACAAATCCATATCAGTTATTGCGGACAACTGCTTTACCCTGTGCTAAGCTGTTCACAACTTTTCTCGATGACCACCTTCCTTCCAAGGTGACCAGGAATCTACGCTTGCTGTTACGTCACGTTCACTTCACCAACCAGCGCCTGGCGGATGTTTGCCTTGCTGCCTTCAGCTTTCCTGGCCGATAATAGCAGTTCTTCAAAAAAAGGAGAATTCAAGCATAGTTACAATAGCATTTAAACTGTAATGTGATCGAAACAATCATAGCTAGCTGCCCTCCCCCTTGACGTTGCTTGCTGGTGCGTTGGATGCTTCGGAAGAATCTGGAACGATTGCGCTTGGTTTCTTCTGTTCTTCCAACGTTGTGTTAGTTGCAGACTCGTTCTGTGGGGTTTCAAGCTTGACCGCTGGGGTTGTCGTGTCGCTAGGCGTTTCGGATGATTTGAGAACCTGCTCGGACGTCCAACCAGGACAAATTTTGCTCAACACATCTGAATGATGCTTGATCCATAAGATCAGCTTGACAACTTGCGTCGGCTGTAGAATTTCACGCGTCCTCGTCAATCTGTCATTGAATTTCTTGTTCTTTTGCTCGCAGAGATCGCTAAGTTGATGGATCAGTGCCATGGTGGCGTTCAAGTTGGTGCACAAATCCCGAATCTTTTCACGGTGTGACATCATTTTTCGAAGTTGTTGTGGTGCGACGTCCAAATGCTTCCCGAGAATTCCAACCAGAGGGTTTTGATCAGTCAGATTCTTACTGTCGTTGGCCTTTGCCATCGTCCACAATGCCATCTTTGTAAAATTCGTGGGGTTTGCGAGTCTGATGACGGCATTGATAACAGGGTGCAAAAATGTACGTGTCAGGTACTACACAACTCACAAGTCATTTCGAAAAAGGAAAGCAAAAAAACTTACTTTTGAAGCTGATCCAAATGAAAGGATAGCTCTTCATGTCGCCGTTTCCCGTAGTCCGAGTAGGCCTCCGAATACTCTTGAATCACTTTATTCAATTCCTCGTCCGGAGTTTCTTTGCTCATCACCATTTCCTTCATTTTGTCTTCTGCCTTGAGACGATCTTGTTGGAACCTTTCGGTTTGATTGGTGATATTGTCCAAGTGTCGCTTTAATTTTTCATTTTCGGCACGCAATTGAGTCAGTCGGTTTTCGCAGTCCACGAGTCGGGGTTTCTTGCGCCTCTTGGCATAAGACGGTTTATTGTCTTCTTTGTCTTCTTTGCTAATCTTGCTGTTGGCGTTACTGTCGCTGGTAGCGGCGGGCATTTTGGTATCCTCGTGAGACCGTTTTCGCGTTACCGCTGCCACGGCTTCTTCTGCTGTCTTGCGAAGCGCGTCTACAAAGGGAGAGTTGTTGTTGTTGGATGATAGTTCCAATGCCGCCACTGCCGCAGACGAAGTCGCCGACTCTACATCGCTCTGTTTGGACGACGAATTGCTGTACCGACGAGACGCGTAGCTTGGTGCTTGGCCATTGGTGTCCGTACTGACAAATGGCACCGGTGGGCCCTTGCAACTACTTGGTTTGCCTTCTGCGTTGGCGTCTCCCGCCGAGGTCGTTAAAGATGAAAGCATCTCGGAAGGAAGATTTATTCCGAGGCGGTTAGCCAATAGTGAAAATTGTGATATCAATTGTTCTTTCGGCGGCTGCGGGTACGAGGGCGCCGAAGAAGCCGCGTATGCATGAGGGTGGTGGTGTGGGTGTCCGTGTTGTGCTGGATGATGAGCCGGTGTGTGGGGAGGAGGAGGGTGACCTGCCACTGGAGCCACGAGAGGGCGATGGGCGGCACTCGGAGGGCTGTAATGTGGCTGAATAGGGACGGGAACTGAACCAGGTGGAGGCGCGAATGCCGAATGCTGGTGGTGGCCAGGGGCTGGGGCGGGAGGAGCGGGTGCTGGAACGCCGTGATGGTACTGTGGGTAAGGCTGAGGAGCATGCGAATGTGGATGAGGGTAGTGATGATTGGCATGCTGAGGATGCGCTTGTGCTGGATGTGCCTGATGTGGTGGTGGCTGGACCTGAGGTGGATGGGATGGTTGCTGACGTGCTAGTGGATTGGGTATCAATGGAGGGGGTGGTGGCTGACCGGTTACCGAGGGACTTGGATGTTGCTGCTGCTGTTGTGGCGAATGTGTGGGTTGTCGAGGTGTCACAGAATGCTTGATTCCCTTGCTAACACGCTGAGGCTGATGTCCGTGCGAGGGATACGACTGCTGCTGAGGATGATGATACCCATTTGTCTGGTGGTGATAGTGTCCATTGTGCGGATAGGGTTGGCCATGGTATGGCTGTACCTGAGGAGGATGTGGTGGAGGCTTTTGGGCAGAAGCATGTGGCTCGGCTGGATAACTATTGTTGCCGTTAGTGCCGCTGCTGTGATGATGTTGCTGCTGATGACCAGGATGGTGAGGCTGCGGGTGATGATGATTGCCCCGAGGTGGTCGCTGAACATCCCTTGAATCCCCTGATTTGTGTTCGCTTCTGTCATCACTGATATGAGGAATCGGTGACCCGGTCACTCCAAAATCCCTGAGCAGAGACTGCTCGGCATAGGTTAATGCATCGTCTGGCTTTCCTGTTGCTGCTGCTTGAGGTGCCGCCGTTGTCGTTGTGGGTGCTACTTCTCGTTCGTGAGGTGGTGCTGGCTTGGGCTGTGCTTGAGCATTATCAGTAGTAGCAGCCGTTGCCGCATTGGCGTTCTCTGCATTTCCAGCCGCCGTGATGGTAGACAGCAAATCGGACGAATCATCGAGCATTAGCATTTCATTGTAAAAGAGACTTTCCAACAAAGTGGTATCCAATGTAGATCCATCAGGTAGGCTTCCACTACCGCCATTGTCACCGCTTGGTTGGGACATTTCGCTATTGCAGGACCTCCAAAGTGGTATAGAGACCAATTTGAAGTATAAGATACCTTTGGGGTATCCTTTGCTTGGGTATGTATCGGTTTAGGAAGTGTTTGCTTTCTCCTTCTCGGTTAGACTAATCTTCTGAACCAAGGAGGGCAATCAAAAAGAAGGATAAAGAATCCTGATTAGATTTTCTGTGCTGCTGCGTTTGTCTGGGTGTGATGTTTGGGCATCTGGCCATGGTGCTCCTTCCAAACACATTGTCTCCAATTGCATGAAGAACAGAGCAGTCTAATTGGTTGAGGTTTCACAGCTTCGCTCCCCGAACTCAGTCCCAGATAAGACTGATTTGGTTTCCGATTTTGATGCTTTTGTGATGCTGTGGCAGTCACCATCTTCGTCATCGCTTCTGCTAGCAATGTCAGGAAGGCCTGGTATTTTTAATAGGTTTTTCGTAACTATTTACCTCAGCTGAAAGTCGACTGTCGCTCCGGCTAGCTATAGGCAGCCAGAATCGAATCCAGTGGCGGGATGATTTGGATCCATTGCTCCTCCTGATCATCAGCTCGGGTGCGGTACAAAAGATTTGGGTTCGCTGCAAGCTTTCTCAGTAGCTTGTAGCCAGTCTAGCTAGATAGCCGGTTGAAGTCCGGCTGGAGAATACACGTACATGTACCGCCTTTGGACACACCTTGTTTGCTTGCTTGGACTTTTAATAAAAAAGTACTGGTAATTGGAAACACAGGTTGGCGTCCAGGGCAATCCGGTTTCGGGTTCGAAGAAGGTCTCCTTCAATCTCTCCTCC